TAGTAGGCGCCTTCCTCTTATTAAAGAGTATTAAATATATATTAAGTAATTAATAGGTGTTTACTATAGTTAACCTATATACTATAATTAATAAAGAAGTTATATAGGCTTATTAGGACTTTTTAGTTAATTACCTTAAAGTTATTTATAAACTATTTACTAAAATCTTTATAGGTGTAGTAAAGTAATTTACTACTAATATAGTTATAGTACTTATAACTACTAATATAAAATATAGTAATAGTGTTAAGCATAAAAGCTTATTACTTACTTATAAAGTTAATTAGTAACTTCTTAATATAGTCTTTTCCTTATTACTATAGAAGAATATACTATATAAGGTTAGTAAGTATAGTAAATATATTATTAATTACTACTACTTATTACTTTATATTAAGTAGTATATTATAGTTACTATAAACTTCTTCTTGTTGCCTTATAGGCAAAGGTGTAGTAACCTATAAGCCTTACTTACTTATAAGCTTATTATATTTACTTATCTTAGCTTAAGTCTTTTGCTTATAGGCGTAGTATTATTTACTATTACTCTCTATTAGCCTAATAACCTCTTAAACATAAGCGTTTCTTCTAGTAGACTAAAAGGTATATATATTTATTAGAAAAATTACTACTAGTAGTATAAATAGCTAAGGAAAAACATACTTTTATAAGTAAATAACTTAGGAAAAAATAATAAGCTATTATATTAGCTACTTATTAACACTATTAGTTAGTAAAAGAGGTATATATATAAAAAAAGAAGTTAGTAAGCTAAAAAGCTTATAATAAATAAGATATAGTAAATAATTACTAGTTAGCTATAGGTATATAAAGTAAGGGTTTTTTATAGTTAAAAGTGCTTCTCTAAAGGTAATAAAGCTTATATAATAGACATAAATTAACAAGGTTTCTACTAGTTAAAGGGACTAGTTATAGATCTATTAATTAACCTATTATAATAAGTAATTAGTATAAACTATTATAGTAAGGGTATTTATAAAAGCGTTTTTTAGTACTTGCCTACTCTAGGCATATAAATAATTAACTAGTAATAATTACCTCTTCTTATAGACCTTACTAATCTATAGTTTAAATAATAAAGTTAACCTTTATAGTTAACAGTAAAGTTAACTACTAATTAGTATTAGTAATACTAAGGGATAAGTTAATATAGTTAACTATATATATTAGTAGTAATTAATAAATAATAAAGGTAACTATAGTTCTTTATTATATATAAAGAAAAGAAGGATAATTATTGTAGGTTAGTTAGTTAAATAACTAACTTATTGTATATAAATCCTTAGAGAATCTATGGCCAAATATCCGAGGATTCGCCAGCAATGAGTCATTAGGGTTAACCTGATAACTCCGATATTTATCCGCGATGGTCAACATCGCAACAGAAACTTTAAGGCTGCACTTTGAATATGCGGTGTTGCAAAAGCTGCGCCGTTAATTGTGGCCACAGCCAACGCCTGATATGTATCGTGATAAATGGACGTAGCAGCCCCTCCACATTCAGTTCTTTCGTGTGCCATTCTAGCTCTATCCAGTATTGATCTTCCTTTAAACCCAAAGCGGGCATGGCTTGCCTCTGGCTGTTGGCTTCGCTCCCTTTCTTCTCGTCCCCCCTCATTCCCCTTTCCACCATAACAATTTCTTTTGTTTATTATCCATCGTTCTATAAGTGTCATTCTCAACCTCCCGGGGACAGTCACCCTTCCTACATGTTTAATAGAGTAGGTCATAAACTCAAAGGTGAAATGTTGGTCCCTAAACAACCTGACATACTCTTGTAGAGCTTACTGATTTCAAAGTGCTGGGCCTATAGTTATCTGAGAAGCAGTACTGTACTTTACGATTTAGCCGTGGCTTTCAACATATCTACCAAACGTCCAGGCTCTTTCGCGCTTGGAATATTCAACATTTCCAATCGCATCTGAAGGACCACAATGGCTTGACGCAAAGCTCAAAGCCCCAAGTTCGCATTCTTACCACATACCATACATCTCAGCTTTATTAGGTCGAGTGCCACGTACACGCCCATGTACGCAAACGGCCAACGAATGCACCGTATACGGTGAAATGATATACCAATCAATGGCGCTGATTAGGTGGCGTTGGCTGGACTTATATAGACCTTACGGTAGCTGCTTTGGAGGGAAATCAAATTTGTCCATAGGAACAACCCTGGTAATTTTCTTATATTATCCCAAGGTCCTGAATCTGCTCTCCATCCACTCTACACGGTATATAACGAAAGGTTTCCAGCTCCAACACCCTTCGCATATATAATCAATCTTTAGGCACGAGCGCGTAGGCTATCGCTAGTCACTTCTTCTACCATGGTGACTGTTCGATTTGTAACATTATTCGGTGTCTTCTTTTGTGTCTATGTGGTCGCCGCTGCAGAACTACCATACCCGGAAATCCCAAGCTGTGCGGTGAGGATGTTCTAGTCTTCTGACAGAACAAAACTGTATTAATGTTTTACATAGAGCAGTTGCGCCTCTCATGAAATCGCTTATTCCAACTGTTCTGTTACAGACCAAGACTGTCTATGTCATGACACTGCTTATGCAACCAAAGTACAGGCATGTGTTCTACAAAATTGCACAGTCAAGGAAGCGTTAGGTAAATATTACTGCATCTTCGTCCGGTTCAACGAGATGGGAAGGCTTAACCAGAGTTCAGTTGCTCGAAATCAATCATCGACAGCCTGCCGCGTGCCCATAACCGAGCCGGCCCATGTATATCAATGGTTCCCAGGGGTTCTTTTTGCTCTTCCAACGTTCTTAATGATAGGACGGCTAGCAAACAAGTGGTTGCATATCTCACCCTGGGGCTGGGACGATTCAAGCATTGTCGCCGCCTACGTATGTATCTGACTACATCTACTTCCGTCCTTAGTGAATTGTCCACTAACTCTTTACCAGCTTATCCTCGCAGCTTTCCTGCCAGCATCTGTTTTTGGTATCTCCCCCTGGTTGGCGTACTTTGGTTCTGTATCGTTCTGATTATTTTCTCTTTTTGCAGCTCTAAGAGCGGGCGCAGGCAGAGACATTTGGACACTCGACCCAGATCAGATTACAGACCTACTCCTGGTAATAATGTATATCCCCCAAGGCTTTCTACACGCTAACACTAGCCAGATTGTATACATCTTCGGATTGCTATATTTTTTCGGCCTCGCTTTTATCAAAATGTCCATCATTTTCTTGTACTTCCGGATTTTTCCTGATGAGAAATTTCGAAAAGTGCTGTGGGCCACGCAGGTGTTCAACTTGCTTCTTCTGATTTCATTTGCAGCAGGTCAACTTGCTCTTTGCCAACCCTTAAATTTTGTTTGGGTAGGCTGGACCAAAGAGTTTCCAGGCAAATGCTTCGATAGAAATGGGTTCATCATCGCTCACGGCGCTATCAACGTTGCCTTGGATTTGTGGATGCTTGCGTTGCCTCTAACACAACTTTATGGGCTGCATATGCAGCGCAGGAAAAAGCTAGGCGTGATGTTCATGTTCAGCCTCGGTGCATTGTAAGTGTAGTGCGGGGTTTTTTTTCACTGGTCATCATGAGAGCTTTGTTGACCATTTGCAGTCTTACGGCAGTCAGTGCATACCGGATCAAAGTGGTACTGGAATTTGCAACATCTCTCAATTTTTCTGGTTTGTTTCCATCGACAATCCACAAACCTTTAGACGGCACTTCTAACTATATCGCTAGCCGATTCTCTTGGAACCTCACTCTGGTCCCATATCGAACTCTGCACAGGTGTGGTTGTGGCCTGCCTACCAAGCGCGCGACAACTCTGGATGAGGGGGATCCCTAATATCGTCAGACGTACTCCGAAGACGACACCTGACGAATCACCGGAGGCTTCTCGATCTCGTGAGCCAAACGCCAAAAGCAATGTCGAAATTACGACTTTCCAAGACAACTTTGGGCGCAATTCATACACTGAAGAGACAAGGATAATATGATGATCAATGCTTAGAGAGAACTGTTGGCATATGGGTAATGCGGCCAGAGGCGGTGGGTCACGTGACACACCGCCTACTGGCAGAATCCCCACTCTTGCCCACACGCAAGGGTGCTACTACACTTATGCTCCTACTTCACCTTATTAACTAGTTAACTATTAATAACTACAAATTTAACTACCTTTTCTTAACCTTTGTAATATTATAAGATACAGGATCCTATTAATTAGCTAGTAAAAACTAATATTAATTAATAGTTAATTATTACTAATAACTAGTAATTAATAAGGCTTACTATTATAGGAGTTTACTTAGCCTACTATAACCTAGTAGACTACTAACTAAGTTAAGTATTATTAAGGCTACTTTACCTCTATAAGAAACACTATAGTGTTTATTATACTATTAAAACCTCTTTAATAAATAAGAATCTCTTTTATACTAACTATAGCGCTATTAAGAAAAGACACTTAAGTAGTAATAATTACTATTTTACTTAATTTTCTTTTTTATATTTATATTTACCTCTTTAGAAAACTATCTTTATTTACCTTATATATATAAAACTAACCTAGTACTATTTAGACTTATAAGTATAAGTTATATTAAGAAGAAAACTTATTACTTAATTACTACTATAAAAGTTATATAGTAATTACTACTAATTAACCTTAATAATTAACCTTATAATAAGTTAACCTAGTAGTACCTTGTACTCTAAGGTACTTACCTTTATAGTAAAATATATTAACTATAAGAAGTATAGCTAAGAAATCCTTTTTAATAAGTAAGACTGTTAAATAGGCTTTGTACATGCATGTACTTAGTAAAACGTAGGGGTAAATTAACTTCTTATTAGGTAACTAAACAGGTCTACTCTACTATTGTTGTATAAAGCAGTTATATACTGCTTAAGTATAACTTAAGTTATTCTAGCTAACTAAAAGGTATAATCCCCTCTTGATATAACCAAGGGCTAAATAACTAGTCTATGCCCTTTGACCTTAAATTATAAACTATTTATAGTTAACTAACTAGGTGTTATATAATTATTAGTATTAATATTCTAATATTTACCTTTCTTCTTTTATAATTGTATGCGCCCTTGCGTTAACTAATTAGATAGTCCTAATTAGTTCTTATAATAACTTTACTTTTAATAGCCTACTGTTATATATAAAGTTATCTAAACAAAAATAAACTCTAAATATACCCTTTCTAAGAGTAAATATAAGGTAATACTTACTAAGCTAATTAAATCTATTCTTTTATATATACCTTCCTGTTTAGTTATTTCTAAATAGTTACTTACTTATATAATAAGTTTTTACTTTACCTTTACTTTTTTCTTTGCTTTATATTTATGTACCTTTTTTCCCTTTACGTAATTAGTAGCCTTAACTCCTCCTATATAAATACCTCCTACCTTTTACCTTTTTTTTCTCTTTTTCTCTTTTCTTCCTTGTGCTTTTTTTAATAATAATAAATAATATATAAAACCCTACTAGTATAGTAACCTTACTACTTCCTTTTCTTTATCTCTCTTGTATATTAATTAATTAATAACTCCTTTTTCTCTCTTTTTAACTTATTAATTATCTATTACTTTATATATATCTTCTTTTCTCTATTATTATTAACTTTACTAATTTATAATAGATCCTTCTTGTATATTATAATAGCCTAGCTTAGACCTTAGCCTTTAGTTATTAGTTCC